AACCACCATTCCTTCCTCGGAGAGAGCACTGGGGCCTCTTCAGCAGCTTGCATCTGCTCATCTTGCTTGAATCCTCGGGGGAAGGGCTGGAGAGAAATTTGATTCGTTACTTTGGACTGAAAAAGCAAGTTCTCCTCACTTGTCCCCAGATGGCATCCGAGTTTCTGAAGTAGGACTTTTGCCACCCACATTTACCGACAAGCTGTCTCCAAACCTCTGGAAGGAGCATCAGGGAGTTGGAGACCACTCTGATAAGCAACAAAAGCCAGCTAAAGACCAGATGTCATGGGGAGCTCTGCTTTAATCACAGTGGTCACCACTAGACTGGTTTCCATGACAATATCTGTTTCCCAAAACTAAGACTGGCTTGGCTCCTTCACCTTGGGCTGGGGAAAGCTGCTCAGGTCCCACCAGGGACCATCTGTACCAATTCACCTGCAAGAGAAAAAGGCAGGGAGAGTAGGGGTGAGCATTCTCCGGCACGAAGGAAGTGCTTAACTTTATCGCTGGCAGATGTCGGCTCTGGAGGGAGATGGACATGTGCTCCAAATTGGATCTCCCAAATAAATGATGAACTCCAACTGGCTCTAAAAACTATGAACTCTTGGGTAGATAAGTACCAGTGCACAGCAGCAATCAAACAGATGAGACCCAGCTCCCTCCGAGCCTCAGGTACCATGCTGTTGCTCGGGAGCACCAGTAGCCTTCAGAGGGACGGTTAGCAGGTGTCAAAGCTTTATCCATAGAGGAGCAGAGAGGGTAGGCACTCTCCTGTGTAGGTTTCCTTTTATTTCTACACGAGACATGTGAAAACAAGGTTGATACCAGTCCGTGTTGCCTAGTTTTACTCCAGCTTGACACAGCTCAAGTCATCTGAGAGGAGGGAACATCAATTGAGAAAAGGCCTCCATAAGATCTGTCTGTAGGCAGACAAGCCTGTAGGGCATTTTCTTAATTATCGATTAATAGGGAGGGCCCAGGCCATTGTGTGTAGTGCCACCCCTGACTAGTGGTCTTGGATTCCATACGAAAGCAAGCTGAGCAAGCCATGGGACCAAGTAAGTAAGCAGCACCCCTTCATGGCCCTTGCATCAGTTCCTGCCTCTAGGTCCTGCCCTGTTTGAATTCCTGCCTTGGCTTCCCTCAGTGAACCATGACTTCAGATATGTAAGCCAAATATAAACCCTTTTCTCACCGGGCATTGGTCCCAGCACTCAGGAGGCAGAGTCAGGCAGATCTCTGTGAGTTTGAGGCCAGCTTGGTCTACAGAGCGAGTGCCAGGATAGGCTCCAAAGCTACACAGAGAAACCCTGTCTCGAAAAACCAAAATAAAATAAACCCTTTTCTCCCTAAGTTTCTTTTGGTCATGGCAGTTTGTTTCATCATAGTAATAGCCCTAACTAAGACACAGTCTAAACCACAGAATTTCAGAAGGTTAAACCTGGAAGAAGCCTTGGGGGTCATGCAGTCCAAATTTATTTTATAGATATGGACACTGAGGCCCAGAGGCAATTGGCTAGTTTGGGAAAGTAATGGTGGCCAGAGACAGTGTCCCACAGGGTTACAGGGTCTCAGGTCTGACTTAGCGTTCTAGATAGAGGTGAATTTTCCCTATCAGGGCATGGTTTGCTGTTGAGAGCACTCTAATGGAAAGCCCTTGATTCAGTAACCAAGGATCTCCACCATTTCTCTTTCATATATAGCCATAACCAAATGTTAGTTTGGGGCTTAGGTGGGCTGTCTTCATAGTTACCTGTGAATTATGGTGTATAATATTTGGCTCTAAGGAATATAACCCACTTAGCCCATTTTATTACAGAAATACGAATGCCTCCCCATTGCCATTAGTATATAACAACGTGTGTAGAAAGTATAAAGTAAGGAGTCACATGTGAAAATATCACATGACTGTTTTAGAGGTTATTTATCCTGGTTAAGAGCCTTCCATTTTGAGAAAGTTGTGGTGGCGTACTTCTTTAATCCCAGTGCTCAGGGAGCAGAAGCAGGCAAATATCTGTGATTTCAAGGCCAGTCTAGTCTACAGTTAGTTCCAGGATGGCCAGGACTACATAAAGAGACCCTGTCTCAAAAATAAGATAAACCCTCAAAAAAACAAAACCTCCTCCAGATGCCAGCACTGAGGTGGTCACATAGAAGGCCAAGGTGGCAAGATTTCACGAGGCCCTTTGCCCCTCGCTGTCCCCTGCTTTTTTAATCCTCAACTGATGGGGTACTAGGTAGAGTCACAAGGGCCCATCCCAGGAATGTAGTACATAGGTAGGTACGTGTACACACACACACACACACACACACACACACACACACACACACACACACACTTTGTCCTAGCAGTTGCACTCACTTTTAGAAATATCTCCAAGAGACTACATATGTACGTGGGAAACATACATAGGAATGCCCACAGTAGCAGTTCCTATAAAATAACTCCTAGAAGGAGAGAGACAGAGAGAGAGAGAGAGATATTTAAGTGTACATCAAAAACATCAATAAAATGGAATGTGGTAGATCCATATAGTGGAATATTATATAGCTATGAAAGAGTAATTAGAACCACATGTCTGCTTGAAGCTTAAAAATTTAATGTTGAACAAAAAATAGTATGGTGCAATTTAAGAATTTAAGTAAAGCTTAGAAACACAGAGATACTCTCTAGTGCCCAGGGTTCCCATGATTATGGTAAAGCTATAAAGGAATGCTTATGATCACCATCAGAATTTAAGGTCCTGCTCTTCACAGCATAGGGCACAAGAAGGGAATTCAGCTGTGGTCGTCAAGGTTCATTGAAGTTGGTGGTGGTTCATGAGTACTTAATTCACAATATTTTTTCATGAATCTTATATATTTAAAATATTAAGGAAAAGGAACAAAGAAAAACACTGGGCTGCCAACCCCTTTGAAAATGATTTATTTACCAGTGTAAGATTGGGTTCAAAAGTGTGACCAGACATGTGACCACAATGTCTCATGCGTGTCTTTTTGTGCTTTTATTTGGGACCGCATAATGAACACACAGCATGTAACAACAGGAAACGCCAAGGGCAGAAACACTTCACAGGACTAACTTTCTCTTCCAAAGATTCCCACCTCAGTTTACTTCAGAGACTGCCACCTTCCCCCAGAGCTCCTTTACAACTGAGAGCAGCTCAAACCCAACTGCTCTCCTGGCTCCTGTTATCTGTTGTTTCCATTAAGGTGATGTGCTGTCCACTCGCCCCTGGAGTCATCTCAAATCAGAGTGGACAGATACATGCAAGGTCTTGGTGGGCAAACACCCAACAGATGGATACCTCGTTGACATGGGGAGGGCACTCGGGAGGACTGAGGGTGAACTCCTAACTGCCCAGCCTGAAATGGCCTCTCACTTTACTTTCACCTCAGCTTGGCTCTCTTGCCAGAAAGTGTTCCTTGGCAAAGACTTAGGTTCCTTCCCACTGATCCCAACTGTTCACGAAGATTCAGCTGATTCAGAGGCGACTTACAAGCATGGCTGGAAACAAGCTAAGCCGATGTAAAAGGTGACTGAAGGTTTTTAATTCATCTGTCTGACACCTCTGAGTAATTTACAGAGGAAGTTTTGGAGAGAGAGAACAGTCATGAGAGGAGCTAGGAAGTGCCATCAGGTGAGCAATGACAACTGATGTTTGCTTAGATACCTGGCTGCTTGTCTTCTCAAGCTTGTCTAGCAGCTCCCATGATATCGGTGCTGTGTTCCAGGTGGCCACATCGGGGCGCTGTAGAGCAAGGAAGTAACTGACAACCCGAATTCTGCCCACAGGTAGCTTTGCTAGCAGCCACTTACATTGACTTCCCAGTGGGGGCATTTATCGGAAACATCTACTGAGGCAGACATTACCAAACTTAGCTTCTTGTTATTTTCCAGCTAAAGGGACATGCCCCCCAAACTGGAGGGAGGTATGTTTCAAGAGGCCATGTTTCCTCTTTAAGTTGTTATCCACCTCTTCATTCACTTAGCCAGACAAAAGAGGCCAAGCTCAGAGCTGCTTCCTCCTGAAGTATGGGCACACTGAGAAGGACAGGTCTGTCCCACAGAGTCAGATGAGGGGGTGGGTGACACTGGTGAACATATCAGTTAGCCCTCAGAATGTGGCAACCACCCCCAGAGGCTGCCACCAGAAATTTTATGATTAAAAAAACAAAACAAAACCCACCCTGATTTCTTAAATAAAACAGTCAAAACACACAATACATTTCCAGAGTGGGATATGAACAGCAAAAATAGGAAAGGGGGGAGTTAAAGTAAGCAGAGAGTTCCCTTCTTCACACTGCCCTGGTGTGGGGCTCCTGGAGGACAAGGTTGGAACAGCTGTCTGGTAGAAGGGATCTCATCAGGTGCAGCCCCTCCTGCTTTACTCCAGACGCTCCCCCTGTGCTTGATAAGGACAGATGCCCGATGTATTCCACTCAGAACATCAATGTGGCATGACCCCCCGGTGGCCCAAGGACTTGCTGGCTGGCCAGTGGCTCTCAACCTCCTTAGTGGTGAGACTCTTTCACACAGTCCCTCATGTTATGGTGACCTCCGACCATAAAATCATTTTCATTGCTACTTCATAACTAATTTTGCTACTGTTGTGAATCATAATATGAAGATTTTTGGAGACAGGGGTTTGCCAAGGGAGGGGGGAAGGACCCACAGGTTGATAACTGCTGCTTTAGACTAAAGTGAGCCAGAACTACCCAGAGTGTACCTGACACACATCTTTTTCCATAGCACAGATGAGCAAGACACAGTCTTCTAAGTGACGCTGATATACCCATCACATCACTGCCCTGGTGACTCTGCTCACTTTTTAGTGTTGGGAATATAGAAAGAGAGGAATGAGGCCCTAGCTTCAGCCCACACGCCTGCAGTTGTCTTTGGGTGTAGGCATGTGGACAAGGGCATGAGGGGATGACTGACAGCTGAGCCTGGAGGATGACTGTGCCCAAGAAGGACAAGGTTGGTGGTCAGCAGCCGACTACAGGTGCAGTTGGTGCCACATGGCGATCTGCCGACGTGGGTTTTTTAGCATCTCCTCCCAGTGGCTGCGCTCAGAGCCCGAGGCATGCAGGCCTAGGCTGCAGTGGCCCAGCTCACAGCTCGGGCCCTCCTCTCCCTGGCCCAGCACCTCCAGCTCCACACTGGACGCCCGCAGCAGGTCATCTGGTAACTCAAACATGATCATCTCATTCCACACAGGGTTGATCTTGTGCTTGGCCCGTTTTGTCTGTTTCTTCTTCAGCTTCTGAGCCTGGTGCTTCAAGGTTACCTTGACAGAGACATCTGGGGAAGGGTACAGAGGAAAGAAAGTCAGGGTGGGGGGTGAGTTGCTAGGGTCTGATGGCAGCTGGAATACACCTCCATCTGTAACTTACACTAGAATGTGAAAGACTGACCACACAGGTTGAGAATATTTATTTGTAAGGTTTGAGACCATAAACCTTACAAATTTGGGGTGTTTTTCAGACTTGGGGAATATTTGCATTTTTAGAAAATATCTTGGGGATGGGGCTCAAATATAAGTATAAAATTTATTTAATGATTTTTTTCTTGAACCTGGGACCTTACCCATGCTAAGCAAGCATTACCCCTGAGCAAAACCTCCAGCTTTCTCTTTCTTTTTGATTTGGAAACAGGGTTGCACTATATCATTCCAGCTGGTCTTGAACTTTCTCTACAGCCTAAGCAGGCCTGGAACTTGTAGCTACCTTCACAGTAGCTGAGATTCCAGGCCTACACCCCTAGAGTTTCACAAGCATCTATACACACAGCTTGAAGATTCTTTTATACAACATAAAACCAAGTGTTTTGGAGTAGAATTCTCCACTAGTGGTCAGGAGCGTTCAGATGTTGGTATTTATTGGATTTGGGATTTTTCGATTAGAGATACATAACCTGTCACAAAATGTATGAAGTCAGTGGGTGGCTCAGACCTGGGCATGTCATAGGGCCTCCAGGGAACCACTTTGGCCAAAAAACCCTAAGTGACTTAACAAACCAAGTCAGGGACAAGGTTTAGGTGTCCTCCAGTTTGATTTCTAATCAGACCAGGAAAACAGTGTTCTGTCCCCCCTCATCTTCTTCATTCTCCAGTCAAGCCTTTGTGTCCGTTAAGATGGTGAGTGACCTCCTGGTCACTTGTCTTTTTTTCTAACTTTTACTTGAGGACCTGGATTTCCTATGGAGAGGGTGAAGTCTGGCTCCCTGCTCCCAGGTCCCCAGGAAATCCACAAGTCAGCAGGCAAGCTTCCACAGCTTAGGACATTTTGTTTTCATTAGTCAAGGTTGCCCAAGCTAATGTGAGAATAATTGTTACTTTGTATTTATTGCTATCGTTATCGCCCCTGGGTGGTTAGTTTGTTATTTCTACAGAGATATTTCAGACACAAAGTGCTCTTCTGTAATGGTCCTGATGGGAGCTATTTACAAAAAAAAAAAAAAAAAAAAAAAAAAAAAAAAAAAAAAAAAAGCAAGACAGAATTAAGAATTGAATGGAAGGGATGAAGCCAGGCATCCACCTCTGACCTGTGGCTCAGGACTTCAACAACAGCTCTTCTGATTTGATTTGCCTAGTACCTGTTAGGAATGCACGAGTGAGTCTGTTTTGTAACTTTTTATATGTAAGGATGATTTCGGTGTTATTGAGATCTTGCTTCCTGTGCAGGTGTGGCCCCGTTCATCCTTGCTGCTTTTCTGCTTTGCTAGGAGAGTCTGCTTGGTCCCCATGGCTAGGGACCTGTGTCCAGGTGTCAGAAGGCAACTCAAAACCTATAGGCTTTTATGAAGAGGTTTATGTGGGCATCCATGCTATAGGCTCCTTAGGCCCCAGACTTTACCCTCACAGTCACACATCAGCTGCTGTCACCCATTCTCAGCAGGTGTGTATGGGGGCATTTGGCCAAGGCTTGGGACAGAGAAAAGAGTGGGAGCATGTGGGAACACTAGCAGAGATGTGAGAAAACTAGAAGGCATCAGAGTATCTGTTAGAATTGACTACTGTATCCTGGGCAACATATGCTGAGGGTGACTCCACACCTGGACTCCTATCACCACCACCACCACCACCACCCCCGTTAGCCCATCTCCATTTTATGGCAGATACCACTGCCTTCTGCATGCATCCTGGGACACCCTGCCTGTCTCCCTTGCAGCCTCACTTACCCTTGCCCAGAAGTTCCTTCGATTGGTTGGAGTGGAGGTTCTTGGCTTTAATCAGCACCACAAGGAGGCGATTGGCAGCTGGGAGGTAGCTGATTGACAGAAGGACCTCCCCAGTCCCTGCAGATGGCTCCTGAAAACAGGAAGGTAGGGGATTGCACTAGAGCCTAGCTTCTGACCCATCAGCTGAAGCCGAGACTAGAGTCACACTCTAGTACCCTCGTACCCCACAAATATTCCAGGATCCATTCACCTAAGGTTAGTTTATCTACCACTGCACAAGGCAGCAGGGCCCAGAGGAAGGGGACTGGCATGTGTGTCATCAGGAATCTTGGTCTACCATATGCTATCTCTTTGTGGTTGTGTGTGTGTGTGTGTGTGTGTGTGTGTGTGTGTGTGTGTGTGTGTGTGTGTGTGTGTGTTTCTTTTCTTTCTTTTATTATTTTATTTTTTGAGACAGTGTCTCACTACATAACCCTGGCTGGCCCAGAACTCACTATGTACACCAAGCTGGCCTCAAACTCACAGAAATTCACCTGCCTGTCCCTCTAGAGTGCTGGGATTGGGCATGAGCTGCCACACTCTGGCACGTTATCTCTTTAGATCCAATTTATAAACAGAAAAGAGCCTCCACTTAGGCTACATTGAGGGCAAAAAGTGGGGGGGGGGGCTCTCCTTTTTCCAGACTCTGGAAGAGCCTTGGTAAAACTCTAGGGTCCTAGGAACCCCAGTTTTAGAGCCATGGATGGACCTATCAGGCTCCTGGGGGAGTAGAGAATTCTTTCTTTTTCCCCTTGATTTTACTGATTTTTAAGCCTAAGTTTGTATGTATGCCTCTGTGTGGGTATGTACATGTGTGAGTGCAGGTCACCAGATCCCTTGAAGCTGGGGTTACAGGTAGCTGTGAGTCACCTAATGTGAGTGTTGGAACTTAGATCCTCTTTCGGAGGGGTAGGAACTCTCAATTGCTGTCCCCAGCCCCGAGTTGCCCATTTCTTTGTTTGAAGAGGTAACTCCAGCTTTTCAGACCAACATCACCAATGTAGTGGCTGTCCTCATGCTGATAAGAACTGGATTCACCAACAGGAGCCAGCAACACCGGTACAAAGTTGGGGCAGTGGGGATGGTTGGGCAAGGACCAAGTAGTAGTGGTGTGGTCCAAGGAGGTACGGATCCTCTAGGAAGCTCCTCTATGCACTCTGTCCATCCCATGAGACGGTTTACAATGTCCCCCATCAACCTCCTGCAGAAGTGTGAAATGTTGCCAAGTCCTTTGGAGGAACCCTTTCCTGACTCTGTGGCACAGCTTTAGTAGCCTGTCCTTTCTTGCTGCACAGTAAAGGGATTCAGGGAGCCCCTTCCCCATCCTAATACTGAGGTCACTGTGAGTGCTCACAGAGCCCTTTACCTCCTTCAGTCACACTTGGCACAGGCTACGGTTAGTGGAAGCCTGCTGTGCGTTCTGAGCACACCCTCTGCCTCAGAGCATGTCAGCCATCCAGGACAAATGTCTCTACCATGACCCCAATGGCTCGTTCTTTTGAAGTTGTTCTTTGCTCTTGAGCCAGTTCTCCATCCTAATTGACTCCGTTTTTTTTCCTGGAATCTTTTCTCCCTCTTTGAGTTGTTTCTACTTCTAAGAATTGGGGAACCTGTGGGCCATCACCTCACGTTGGGAACTGAACCCCACAAAGCAGTAGTGATGCGCTTGCATAGAAGCAAGATAATGGCACCCACACCTTTGTCCCCACAACTATCATTCCTGTGTCATCTTGGAGCTCCTGTCAGGACAGGGAGGCAGACAATGTTCTAGGAGGTTGCTAGACATGCCGCATTTCTGATGTAGTACAGGAAACAAGCTTCCTGTTCTGTCCCTGCATGTCTTTGCTAATTGGACCCTTAAGGCAGCTGGTGGTCAATCCTGGTCTGTTGAGGTGCCCAGAGGCAGGCCTTGGCCTTGAGATTCCAGGAGAATTTAATCAGCTATAGGTGGCTAGTCATATGACAAACTGATCTGGGAGACTCAGGGAATCTTGGGATGCAAAGGTCTATTAAACAAGAACACTGTGCCCATGCAAGTATGTTGCCTGTGCCACTGGACTGCAGGTTCATTGCACATCCCTGGCGCCAGACACACACTGAACACAAAATAAATGTTTGCCAGAAAAATTTCAGACATCTCTCTTGATCTTGGCAATGACCTTGAGAAGGGCACTGAATTATCATTCTCAGCAGGAGAGCCAAGTGGGGCTTGTTACCACCAGGGCCAGTAGCTACGACAGCAAACCTGAGACTCCTGTGAAGTCTGCTCTAAGGGAGCCCAAATCCCCGTTCACCACTCTGGCTTCCTGGGTGAACAGTCTCTCCTGGTGCTCTTATTTTACAATATAGGCACGGAGGTCTGGAACAGGTGACAAGCACATAGCCCTGGACAGCGCTCCACAACTGGCCTGGGCTGTAGTTACAGATGACCAGTCTGAGCCCTCTGCTCCTCAGAGAGCAGGCTTGCATCTTTGCAGGGCTTCTCAACTGTGTGAGTGAATCCTGGACCTGCCTTGTGGATGCTGTTATACAAGAGACCCTGCAGTAACACCTGACTGGGTTCAGATACTCAGAGAACCATGAGTGAAAGCAGCCCTTTTCCTCTCCTTTCTCCTGCCTCTCCCTACCTCCTTTTCTCTTAGATGCCCAATGAATCACTCCAAGCTGCCCTCAGAGTGGGGTGCTCTGTTGTCTCTAATGACGCACATGCCACTTTTGGCTAAATGTCTTCCGGCTGGAACTGGGGCACTGCTGCCACCTCTGTTAACCCATTCAAGCCAAGAAAAGAAAATAAAAAAAAACCCATCTGAGTTGCAATAACTGTAGATTCCTTCACCAGCTTTACATCAGCCTTCACTCTCCATCTGGATGGGGATTTCTGACCAGGCCTGGAGCGTGATGCCTCTCCCGACACTGCCCAGAGGGAAAGAGATGTGCCTAGCTATCTGTGGAGTGGTGACAGCTGCAGCAAGAGTGATGACATTAAGATGGATGAGCCTGAGGACAGGACTCCGCTGCAGCTGTGGCATACTGCCTGGGACACAGTAGGGGTTAGGTGAGGTGCTTATGAATGAGTGATTGCTGTCTTCTGGGGAATGGACAGAAACAGGCAAGACACCCAGGAGTTGTCTCTGTGAGGTGCATTTCAGAAACACCCATGCCAGATAGGGGAACCTCCTAAGCTCCAGAAAAAACAGCTCACATGTCCTCTTTCCCATCAGGGGCCCTGTCTGTGACCCCACATGCATCCCAAATCACATACCAATTATAAAGTAGGCTTTGAGACAGCAGGTCTCCAAGGGTGGCTGTAGTTTTTACTATTAATTGTCTAAGCTGAGAAAAAAAAAAACAAAACAAAACAGGAAAACGGGCCCAGAAGAAATGATGAGCCAAAGAGAAGCAAGTAAGGAGTGGGGTGCTCTCTTCATCCTACAGTCCAGGCTTGCAGAGGAAAGCCCCCTGCCTGTCACCTCCTCTGGCAGGTGCAATGAAGTTGAGAAAAGCACCCAGGATGAGTCAGAAGGACATGCCATTGAGGCTGAGCTATATGCCCTGTCTGGTCTGCCAGTACTGTGCAGATTCCTAATCAGATCAGCCTCAGTTTCCTGTGTGCAGACATGGTGGTAATAGTGTTGCCCTCACCTGCATGGGTTGGGTAGTGAAGACTAGAAGGAAGATGATTCCCTGAGCTGAGCCACTGAGATGGGTGCACAGAAATGGTGTCTCGATGGGCAGGCTGGCAACTTGCTTTATCCAGAATGGGTTATGGGAAAGGCTTGCAACTTTGTGGGCCTAGCAAGCTGATCCAGATTGATCCAGCCTGTGTTCCATAGCTGTATGCACCTTCATGGTCCAAAGATTGTTGTGAATGCTGCCCAATGCAAAACCATAAACTCACCTAAAACATTAAGTGGGATTACTTTGTGATATTTTTAAAATAAAACTTGATTACATGGTTTTTGATCATGACCTTTGTAAATGACAACATCGTATCCCAAAGTCAAAAGTTTGGATACATCTTAGTGCTACAGACCAGCTAATTGACAGGTCATTATCAGAAATTCCCTAGAGGCTCTTCAGTAGCAGGCTCTTGGATGGATACTGAGGACTTTCACACAATCCCTATCCTACCTTGACCCCATATTGCCATGGCCTGTGGGTGAACATGGCTTGCTCCCCAAAGAGTCCAGTTTCTCAGCAGCCTCCACAGTAAACACCATCCCAGAACAGTATCTGTGCAGACCATTGAGTTTTCTCTGGTCCTCACAGAGCCAAGGTAGCTCATTTAGAGTTAGTGCCAGCACCCCTGCCTACCAGACCTACCACAGGCTCTTCTCTGCCATCTCAGACTGTAACACCTGTCTCAGACCAGCTGCCAGCAGTCAACTGTATCAGTTTGCCTTAGGTCTGCATGCTCTGAGAGCAGAGGGGCTCTGTTTCCTTCCTCTGATCACTTCTACTGGGAAAAGCTTGATAGGAGCATGAGAACCATGACTGGATTTAGGTGAGATCATCTCTGCCAAATCATGGAAGCTGTTGCCACCCTTACCATGATGCTGCTCCTAGTGGCAGGGTTGTCTTTGGGCAATAAGAAGCACCCCTAGGGACAGGTGCCCTTTGCCTGAGTCGAGAATGTCTGTGAGTCTTGTTTCTCCATCTCAGTGTTCTGCTTCCACCCTCTGCCAGCCAGCTCTCACTCTCTGGTCTGTAAAGCCCTACCTTTGCTGTGGTCTTCAGGTCGCCCCACTGTGCTGCTCCCAAGGGTACAGATGCTCCATCTAGGCCTAGGCGGAGTTCCCCAACCACACTATGGCGGGAGAAGCGGTCACAGGTCCGAAGGGTGAGTGTCAGGGTGGCTGTGGGGAGCTCATCCTCACCCAGGGGCAGGGCTAGGCCCTCCTCCCAGGTGGTGTGCAGCTGCCGTTTCTTCAGAGCTGTCTGTGCCTCCACTGAGCCAGTCTTGATGGTCACACTGCCTTGGATGTAGCAGTCACAGCCTCCTTCATGGTCACTGGTAACAGCTGCAGGCAAGGACAAAACAAGACAGACCTGGGACTTCCCGGGGATGGGGGGTATAGGTCCCTAGACAGGGCTACAGAACACAGATGACCTTGGGTGTCTGCAGGACCCTGGGATAACCACTACATCCCATAATTGTGCAGTTGTCTTGTAGGGAAAGTTCTCAAAATAGGACATCATGGGGAGATGAGTTTTCATTGGATAATAGAAACAAGAAGAGGCACTTTCTAGATCCCTTCTTACCCCAAGATTCAGAGATGTCCCCATTGGTGCCAAGGCCCTGAAGAGCTTTTGTTAGGATAGCTAGCAGTGCTGTGACTCATTTGTTTCTGCATTTTAAATATTTACCACACAGCCACTTGTGATCTGAATCACCGGGCTGCTGCCTCATGAATGTTGCTTCCGATTCTCGACCTTGATGTTTTGAATGCGTCACACTGTGAATTGTGTTAGTCAGCTCTCTGACACTGTGACAAATACCCGAGAGAATCAACTTATAAAGTAAAAAGGTTTACTTGGACACATAGTTTCAGAAACTCTAGCCCATGATATCAGTGGCTACATTACTTTGTGAAGCAGCCTGTCATGGAGGAATCACATGACCAAGCCGAGCAACTCATGCCATGGCCAGGAAAATATGAGGGTGAGAGAAAGAGGCTAGGGGGCTGGGTAGCAAGTGTTAGCCACATGCATCTTTGGGGACAGTTAGGAATTCAACCATAGCACTTTGTGAATCCCTTAGCAGGTGTTTGGCTAGTCCGACTGGCTTTGGTCTTTAACCTCACCAGGAAAGAGATCTGGGTCTCCCTCACAGTGTGCCCACTCTGTACCACTGAGCTTCTCCCCTTCTGACAAGTATTTCTGTGGTGTCATGGCATGGCTGTGTCCTGCAGGTCCTCCTCCAAGGTCACTCTGGTGACCGTCCCTTCAGTGTGGACACTGACATTTTGCAGAAGGAGATGCTGAATGAGCCCTGTGTCCACAAATGAGGCCTGAGGACCTAACATCCCAACAGACCATAGCTTCCTCCTGAGCCTCAAGGGTCTGTTTATTCCTGGTCAGTCACTGGTTACCAAAGTAACCTGGACCTCTCATAGGAGAGGCTAGAACTCAGTCTTCTAATCTGTCAAATGTTACTTTCCTGAGGGTCAGACAGACCAGAGTACATGGAATTGTTTAAACATCTTAAACAACTGTAAAAAAAAAAAAAAAAAAAAAAAAGGGAAAATTCTCACTCAAGTTAGGAAACAAGGGGCTGAGGGAAAGGTCAGAGGTAGAACACTTACTGAATATGTTTGAAGCTCTGATTTCCATCCCCAGGACCAAGTGCAACACAAGACTGATACGTGGCATATGATATTTAGCTTTGTCAACTTGGCAACAAATCTCCACGCTTGTCTAGGAGGGAGCTTTTAGATGTGGAAGACCCACCCTTGTTATAGGAGGCACCCCAGGGCTGAATCTGAGGCTGAATAAAAAATTGAGCCCTAGAGTTCATCACTCTCTGCTTCCTGACTGTAGACACGATATGACTGGCTACCTCAAGCTCCAGCTGCCGTGACGTCTCCACCACGGGATGTGGTGGACGCATGCTTCAAACCGAGCCAAATGAATCCTTCCTCTTTAAATTGTCTCGTCAGGGTATTTTACCACAACAAGTAGACAAGTAACTAATGTAAGTCTGGATCTTAAAATGTACTGCAAAGACTGTGGCTGAAGGCTTGGCCCTTGGCTGATCGTGCTCGAGGGAGGTGGGGACTTGTGGAAGGAAATTCGTCACTGCACATATTCTTGAAGAGGATATTGGGACTCTGCCACCCCCTGCTTCCTTGTCACTGTAAGGTGAGTGGCTTTGCTCCATATGTGCTCTTTGCCCCAGTGTTCTGCCTACTGAGATGTTCTGCTTACCACAGGCCCAAAGGCAACAGGGCCAACCACGGGCTGAATGAAAACTCTGGAAGTGCAAGCCAAAAGAAATCTTGCCTCATTTTAAGTCCCCCTCCTCAGGTGTTTGGTCACAGTGATAGAAAGTTGGCTAATACAGGAAACAAAAGAAATTAGAAACAAGCACACAGCACAGCTGACCCCATCACAACCCCTTGTTTCTTTGCAAAGTTTTAATTTTGTTGGCAGTAAGGTGTACTGTCAGTGCAGTGTTTCCCAGGACTAACTACCCGATTCTTGAGAAAGTTCTCAGAAATATTTCTGACCTTTGAAAGACTGTCTTTGCCTGGTACAAACCCCTGTTAAATGTCAAAGGCATCGCTGGCAATGACTGCTAGCTGCTCATCAATCACTCATTTCCCCACCTTCTTAGGCAGCCCGCCAGGTCACATTTCCTAGGATCCCCTGCAACGAAGTGTGGCCAAGTGATGAGGTTCCAACCAGTGGGGTATGAGCAGAAGTGGCTCGTGCTTCCTCCATTAAGACTATTACAGAATGACTGTGCCTTCCTCTAGTTCTTGTCTTTTCAGCTAAAAGCATCTAACAGTAGGTCTGAGGAGCTTAGGGAACTACAGGTGTAAGGGATTGGGCCTTGAGTCACCGCACAGAGAAAAGGCGTCCGCCAGCCAGAAACCCCTGATTTGCAAGGTTACATGAGGGAGGCAGAAGAATCTCTGTATCTGAGCATCATGCATGAGGAGCTATTTGCCAGAGTGCTAACCCTGGCTCTCTCCAGCTGCAGACCCTGCCATCCCACCAGCAGGGCATACACAAGTCCCTGCTAATCACACAAAGCAATACCTTCCAGGCTAGTCACAAATAACTCGGCCTTTTTCTGATCATAGTCCAGGCGAAAGTGGAGCTTGGGGGCCTGGTTCCAGCTAGCAGCCTTCTCTGGGTTCCAGGTCTCCATGACACAGACATCCTCCACCACACCTGGGAGATAGAAAGAACGACCATGGCCATCATATCGGGGTTCTGCTTCCCTGATCATATCAAGTCATCTCTGCCATCTAAACCATGGAACTAAGACGAAAACCATCCCCAAAGGAGGCTATGGGCACTGCACCTCAAGGGATCATTGGGGTCCAGTGGTCAATATGTGTGCTTTGGTGCCATATTTACACTGCCACATAGTAGCTGGGCATCCTTTAGGGGATGCTCTCAGCTCTGTGCTTGGTCTGTAGTGAGCTTCCCATAAGGAAAGCTGTCACAGCCTGTTTGGTAGTTCTGGTGGAGCATGGAATTGTGGGCAAATTTCACAGAAGTGAACAGGTAGAGATAACAGCAAAGAGAAGCTCCAGAGTAGATGCCACTGGCAAGGATGGTGGCGTTGACATTTTACTTACGTGCATTCAACATTTGCTGAGTGAACAGAGGACCTTTTCTTTAATTAAGAAGGTACTGGGGGCTGGAGAGATGGCTCAGTGGTTAAGAGCACTGACTGCTCTTCCAGAGGACCCTGGTTCAAGACCCAGTACCCACATGGCAGCTCACAAGTGTCTGTAACTCCACCTCCAGGGGATCTGACACTCTCACAAAGACATACATGCAGACAGAACACCAATGCACATAAAATATAGATTAATTGATTAATAAAAGAAGGTCCTAAAACTGCCAATGGAATTGTCAGTATGGCTGTCTCCACCCTTCTCTTGATCTAGAGCCTAATGTGTGAAAGAATCTCAGGAATCAAGCCTAGAAGGAGAACTAAGAAGCCACAGTGGCTGCTGCAGATAACAATGTTAGCAACCAGAACTGAACTGCTGGTCCTCAGAATGAATCAGAGGGCAGGACTCTAGAGGACCGTTAATGTCCCCAAGGGCTCATTATTAGATTCCTGCTACAAACAGCTTTCTAGGGAGCAGATTGACCAAGACATACATGTGCAGGATGCACGTGGCTCCCAAAGCCATCTTGAGGAACTGCAACACACTAGGTAAGAAGGGACTTAGTGGTACCCAGAGCTCTTAGTGCTCAGGCAGCCTCAGCCTGAAAACCCAGACCCAAACCTCCACTCATCTGACATATTTTATCCCTGGCTGGGCTTCTATTCAGAGTGGCATCTGCAAGCTCACTCTGCAGCCATCTTTCCCAAGTGACCAAAGGACAGTGCCATGTGAGTGGCAGGGATGGACTCCTCCTCCAGACACGGGTGCTGATCACTGTGGTGAGGGGAGCAGTGGGGCTCAGAGAGTCAAACACACTCAGTGCATCATTGGGGTGTTGGCTGAAGTGGTCAATGCTCCCAACTGTCTGTGGATCAGAACCAGGCTGCTGCACTATGGGATGGGAAAGAAAAGAAAAAAAAATGGAATGGGTATGTGATGAATTCTTTGCAGCCAGGAGCTG